GGCAAGCCTGTAGGGCGACTAAAATTCTGCAAACTATAAAACTACGCCGTGTATTTGAGACTGCTCATTTTAACATGTGTAAGAATAAGTAGCCAAATGGATTAAGTTCCTTTACACCGTGATCCTAACTCCATATTGCATTCTCTGCTCACCTAGATATCCTATTCTAGGGCCTCTTTTAAATACCTACAACTGTGTTTAAGACGTGCACTTGCTTGCTTTGTTTGTGGAGGTAAATGTAAGCCTTTAATTGTTCTTTCTTTGGTGCAGTCCTAATTGTTTTTGGTTGACGCCTAGATTTTTCTCCTTTAAGTACCTTAGGACGGTCCAGAACTGCCTAAATTAGAGGTCCTAAATACCTCCAGGGCCACGAGGATGGGACGGGTAATGCACGCCTAGGATATCTTTCAAGGTTGCTAGAACGCTTTAGACTATGACCAAGGGGAGGGAATTGGGTAGTAAGGATATTATGACTACGCGTTAATGTCACGTGTATCCCCTCATTGAGGTGTGATTACCGGGCATTGTATAGGTATGATCCTGTAGGCTAACCAACCTAGGACCCCCCTTTCCCAACTCCCGTTGTTTAAATGAATTTACTATTCATTACATATGTACAAGTTGTTCAAACCTCTCTCTTGCTCTGATTACCTGAATCATACTTGTGTTTAGAATGTAAAAACATGCCTTTATTTGCACATATGTGTTGAAACTGTTTACTTGTTCAAAAATGACTGATTCATATAAGTTCGTTCGGGACCCACCGTTGTGGACCGCGAAGGGTGCCTAGCACCTTCCCCTCAAGGTTATTTCGAGCCCTTACCCTAATCTCTGGTAATGCAAACTAGTTACATGAGTTAACCGCTCTAGGTGCCCTAACGCACCATAATACATTAGGTGGCGACTCTTCAAACACCCAATTCCAAAAGGAAACGAGTCGATTCCCCCTGAAATGTCGAAACCCGGACTTTCTCCGCGAGAAGGAAAAAAAAAGGGGGCTAGACAGGAATTATTTCACAAAAGGGGTAAAGGTTTGTAATGTGGCAGCCAATAAAAGGTTAAAGGCTCAATGGGGGTAGCTAGGGTAATTGATGTACCAGGGAGGTCAATTTGGTCAAAACTAGCTAGTAGTCACAAAGAGAGCCTAAGATCATTTCAACATCCAATCATTAACCTGAGAGTTGCACTAAGAAACCAACCGGGCAAGTTCTACACATCACAAGTTAAGCATATGCATTATTTATACAAATCCTCACTCACTCACAACGCATGAACTGTTCAACTTAACATAGTATCAGCCGCCAAGTGAATGCAAGGCAACTCAAAACTTTTATCTCAAGATATGTAAGATTCTGAATAAGCATAAAGTCAAAGAGCGAGCCTCAAGTTCACAAGAATGACTAACCATTACCATTTTCTTTTAGATATATACAAAAGAAGGAAGGGTACCATTTAATTACAACAATTCATTACATGCTTGAAGCTAGAACAATCATCACCGAACAAGTCAAAACATTTCCTGCTACTGTCGTGGTTCTACTATTACACCCTTGGAAAAGAACCCGGCGAAGAAAAAACCAAGGGGAATTCATTGCTAACTATGAAATTATACTACTAGAGTAAAGAGTTTATGTACAATGTTCACACAAAATATGACTACCCCACCCCCAACCAAAAAGCATGCATTGTCCTCAATGCATAGAGAATGTAAAAGTGAAGCTTAGGGACTTCCTAGGGTGCACTAGGCGCTCGGAGAAGCTGAAGCATCCGGGGCAGCTGTGGAGTCAAGTGCTAGCACTGTGGTAGCAACAGCGTGGAACCTCGGACTGTATGGTGGTCGCCAAGGTTGCAGCAGGAAGCTCCACCTGCTGTGAGGCTGGGTTTGGGACCTGGGCGCTACTAGCCTCTCCCAGTGAAGGCTGAGTAGTCGATGGATGTGCCTTGGTGACTATGTCTGCAAGAGAATGTGCAATGCTGTCTGCACGGCTGCTTCCTCTTCATCCTGTGCATCTGTAGAAGCAGCCACTTGCTTACCCTTGTGTTCCCGATGACCCTCAGTCTCCTCTACCAATGCATCCCCATCGGTTTCCTCATCAGACTGCCCTTTCGTCTCTCCGGATCCCTCCTCTGAATGAATGTCAATGTGTACAGTGGAAGTTGGAGCCTTTGAGGGCTCAACACCCTATGCCTCTAGAGCTGTCATAAAGTTTGTGAAATCAAACTCCAAGCCCGAAATGGAGGTTCCAGTACCCTGCTCGCCTTCCTTCAGGAGAAAGGGGGTCAAGTCAAACTCCAAGTTCTGCATCTTCTGCAGCTCTAATTTTAGCTCATCAACATCTTTCCTGAGCCGAGGCATACCTCCAACTTCACCTTGCTCGACCTTCTCAAGACGCACTTCAAATTGCTTTAGGCGATCTTCATAAGATTGATGTTGTTGTTGAAGAACGCTCACTAAGGCTTGGACGGGGATCAATGCTTGCCGGATGAGATTTGGGAGTTCTTTGTCAGCCGGTCTACTTTAGCATTGGCGTGCTAAGCTAGTAGACCCAACTTTGAGAGAGCTGGTAAAGGAACCTATGGCTGTGCAGTGGTTGGCTTAGGAGTGGCTGTGGAGGTAGATGGGTTAGGAGATGTGTCAGGCAGTGCAGGAGCAGCAGGTGCTGCTGAGTTTGATGGATGAGAGAGTGAAATTTCTGGTTGATTATTCATTTCCTTGTCTACTGCATCATTGATCCGAGTGATGTCAATATCTTGAAGAGCTCTCTCAAGTCAATCATGTTTTAGGATAGGAGGCACACCCACAGCTTTACATAGAGCAGTGATCAAGCATGGGAAGGGAAGTGATGTTTGTTCTTGGTTTGTTCTGATCCCCAGCTCCCTGAATATAATCTATCCCACATCAACCTTTATTCCTGTAATGATGCATGCAATGAGGAGTTCCTTGTCAATACTTATGTCAGTTTCATTCCTAGTCGGCATCAGACGGGAGCAGACGAAACTGAGGCAATATCGACCCTCATGTGTGAGATCCTCCTTGTAAATCTTTTGGCCTGGGTCAATCCAGGAGGGTGTCCCCTTTGCTATGACAGATGCAATCCAGGCACGCTCGTTTTCCTTGTTGGCTACTTTGGCATCATACTCAGCCGTGCCTGATGACCAATCCTCAACGTATAGGTCATTAATAGTGGCGTCATCACAGATTACTTGGTCCCCTCAAACTTGGACAGCTTGTGCAAATATCATGTTCCTCTTTTGTTCATCATTCCTTGAGGCACCATAAGAAGCACAGAACTCCCGCACAAGTTTCTCATTATACTCATCTGGGACTTCAGTGAAGAACTCCCATTGCCTCTTCTTAATGTTCTCGATCACGTGAGGTAGTGCTCCTTCAGACCGTTTAGACTCAACCGTTTCTCCTCAAGAATCTTTCTCTTTGTTAGCCCTTCTTTGTACAGGTTCATGGAGCCTATGACCCCAAATCTTAGTTTTAGATCTTCCCCAATCTTCCGTTGTGACTCAGCCTGTAGGTCAACGGATGGCCTGAGGTCACTCTGTGCCTCCTCCTCTTCAGACTAGGAGGAGTGCTCAGAAGTGCTGCGGTTTGTCGTAGGCCGTGGACATTTGGACTGTTGTGCCTATTGGCTCAGAGTAGCAGCCTGTTTCCTTCCACGAGCGTGCGGTGATTGCGTTGCAATAGACTTCTTTGGTGCCATTCCTATCAATGAAACAATGTATGAGTGATTAACATAGCCAAGGGATTTCATTGAGAGAAAATGACTGAAGCAAATAGCTTGTGCGATGGGTTATGCGATCGCATAATATATTTGCGAACCGCAGACTCATCGCATAATTAAAACACACAGAAGGCAAAACAATTACGCGGTAGCAAAACGGGCCGCATATTATGTTATGCGACCGCAAAGTGGTCGCATTTCAGCTCACCAGATGAGCCATTTATCTGACCCTGTTTGCGGCAAGTATGTGGTCCGCGATAATGGTTTGCGATCGCAAACCCCATCGTAGAACCATTTTGCATCAGGCTACCTAGGGTTCTTCTTGCGACAACTTTCCGGACCGCAAACCAATTATGCGGGCCGCAAAGATCGTCTTCTTCAGTTTAAACATGCTCACCTTACTCAAAATGCTCACCTCACTCAAAAACACTCACCTCAATCACAAATGCTCACCTCAAATTACCCACCCAGATCCCCATATCAAAGTTTTGAGAGGAAGGGGGAGGAAAGGAGTTAAAGCAATTCCTAATCATGAACTCAGAAATGAGGAAGAAGCATGCAATGCAGCCATGAGAAAGAGGGAAGGGAATCACATACCAGATGTCTAAGAAAGATAATGTGAACGAGGTGAGTAATTTATGCAAGTCCGATCCTCTTCGTGTGATTATGTGTGTTTTTGATCTTTTCTCTTTTCTTCTTCTTGCTCTTTTTTTTATATTTTGATCGTGTTATACAGTGCTTGTCTGTGAGTGAGAGTGAGGATGCGACTAATATGCGAAAGGTGTTAGGGTTTTGTACCTGTGCGTTTTGCGGCGGGCAAGTGAGTCGCATAACACATTATGCGGACACATATGTGTTATGCGACGGATTAATGTTCACATCGCTCAACATTACTTTGCGACGTGTTCTGCGATCGCATAGTTGTTATGCGGGCCGCAGAAGTAAAAATCTTACCGCATTTTGGAGGACCCAATTTGCCAATTATTCTGCCTATGTCTACAATGACTATGCGGTTCACAAAGTCATTATGCGACCGCATAATTGCCGCAAACCACGGACCCTTCTTTCCTTCATTTACCTCAGCACATGCACCATGTTCATGATATTTTGGACTACTTGTATTCTAACACACACGTAAACCTGCTCAACACTATCAACTAAACCTACATAAATGAAAACTAACAAAAGAGTGTTACCACACATGGGTTGCCTCTCAAGAAGCTCTTAATTTAACATCGCGGCACGACGATGTTGACCCCATTTGGGCTATTCAGTGGTGGGGGCTATAGTTGGACTATCCTTTAGAGCAAATTGTTCTATCAATTGCCTTTTTCCTGTGGTACTGAGGTAATGCTTGACTCGTTGACCATTCACTTTGAAAGTTCGAGTTCCATCCTCCGACTCCAATTCAATAGCACCATAGGGGGACACACTCACAACTTTGAACGGGCCAGACCATTTGGACTTAAGTTTGCCTGGAAATAACTTGAGTCTTGAGTTGAAGAGTAAGACCAAGTCACCAGAATTGAATTCCCGCTTCAAGATCTTCTTTTCATGGACAAACTTCATTCTCTCCTTATACATGGCTGCACTCTCATAGGCATGGAGACAGAATTCTTCCATCTCATTGAGTTGTGTCATTCTCAGGTTAGCAGCTTCGGCACAGTCAATATCCAACTTTTTCAGAGCCCACATGGCTTTGTGTTCAAGCTCCACTGGCAAGTGACACGCCTTACCAAAAACCAACCGGTACGGTGAGGTGCCAATGGGAGTCTTAAATGCTGTGCGATATACCCACAATGCATCATCTAGCTTCCTTGACCAGTCAGTCCTATTTGCATAGACAGTTTTTGCTAGGATGTTTTTGATTTCCCTGTTAGAGACTTCAACCTAACCACTCGACTGAGGATGATAAGGTGTGGCCACCTTGTTCTTTACGCCATACTTTTCGAGCAGCCCGGTGAAAGCCTTGTTGCAAAAGTGAGAACCACCATCACTAAGGATGGCCCTGGGGGTACCAAACGGGTCATATGGTATTTCCCCGTTCTCTCACCAGATCGAGATATCCCCTGTTTTACCCAAGAAAGATAAATTAATCATCAAAAATTTAAAGCGTGAAGTGCATTTAGATTAATTTTTAGGGGATACATGTTACTATTATCAATTAGAAAAATTCAATTAGTATAGTTTATGGTTGGCTTGGTTGGACTAAAAAAATGAAATATCCAGGCTTCGTTTAGAAAAAAGCCAATTGGATTGGTAAGATATCTATGATTGCTGTTCATATTTTTCTTTCTAAAGAGATCCTAATTGTCAAGCAAAGTTATCTCAACCCTAAGAAATACTTGTATAAAATGAATTGAAAAAAAAAAGAAATACAAAAAGAAATGGTAATCACGTGAATATGTTCTTCTTCAAGAATGCGGTCACACTCCTTGCTTCATTTGTTGGGCAAGGCGCTTGCCTCGACCCATTTGGAGACGTAGTCCACAGCCACCAAGATATATGTCATTCCATAAGAGCTCATGAAAGGGCCCATGATGTCTATCCCCCACACATCAAAGATCTCGATCTCCATTACAAAATTCATAGGCATCTCATGTCTTTTAGATTTTGACCCTTGTCTTTGACATTGATCGCATTCCTTGACCATTTGATTTGCGTCTTAGTTTCCTCCATGATGACCCCCAACCGGGGAATCATGGCATGCCTTGAGAATTGGCATTACCTCATCTTCCGGAACACACTGCCGAATGACGTTGTCGGCACAAATTCAGAACAAAAAGGGTTCCTCCCAATAGTATTACCTACATTTCCGCAAGAACTTTTCTTTTGATAAGTCTCTAATCCATCGGGAAGAAGGTCACTAACAAAAGAGTTAGCGATGTCGGCATACCAAGGAGCGAATGTGCTAGACATGCCAATATGTGCTCATATGGAAAGGCATCATTGATTTCAAGGTCTTCTTTTTCAAGAAGCTTGCACATGGTATTTGCAATTTTTGAGAAGTCCTTGATAAAACGCCTATAAAAACCGACGTGGCCCAAAAAGCTCCGGACACCTTTTACTGAAGTAGGTGGAGGAAGCTTGGGAAATGATTTCGATCTTTGGCCAGTCAACGTTTGTGCATTGTTTGGAAATTTTGTGGCCCAAAACAATGCCCTCGTCTACCATGAAGTGGCATTTCTCCTAGTTAAGCACAAGGTTTGTTTCTTCACATCTTTGGAGCACTTGTCTAAGGTTGTCAAGACAATACTCAAAGGAATCACCCACTACAGAGAAGTCATCCATAAACACCTCTAAGAAATATTCCACCATGTCTGAGAAGATGGAGATCATGCACTGTTGGAAAGTAGCTGGGGCATTGCATAACCCAAATGGCATACGACTAAGGGCAAAAGTCCCATATGGGCATGTGAATGTTGTCTTCTCTTGATCTTCCAAGGCGATGTTGATTTGGTTATAGCCGGAATATCCATCCAAGAAGCAATAGAATGACCTTCCCGCTAGCCGATCAAGCATTTGATCAATAAAAGGAATAGGGAAATGGTCCTTGCAAGTAGCACTGTTTAACTTCCGGTAATCCATGCAAAATCTCCATCCGGTCAATGTTCTCGTTGGGATGAGCTAATTTTTGTCGTTTTGAATCGTGGTCATGCCTCCTTTCTTTGGCACACATTACACCGGACTCACCCAAGAACTATCGGCAATGGGGTAGACCATCCCAGCATCTAACCATTTGATGATTTCTTTCTTTACCACCTCTTTCCTGGGCGGGTTTAACCTTCTTTGATGCTCCACGCTTGGTCTGATCTCTTGCTCCAATTGTATCTTGTGCTCACAAATTCCGGTGGGAATCCCTCGGATGTCCACTATTGTCCACCCAATGACTTGCATGTGCTCCCTCAAGACATTAAACAGTTGTTCTACCTGCACATCATTCAACAAAGAAGAAACGATCACCGGTAGAGTGTCATTAGAGCCAAGAAATTTATACCTCAAGTGCGATGGAAGCGGCTTGAGCTCAAGTCGTGGCGGCTCAATAATTGAAGGCTTGGCGGGAGGAGTGACTCTATTCTGTAAGTCAAGAGAAAGTTTCTTTGGTGCATAAGCGTAGGAACCAAGTCCTTATAATGCATTCACTGATTCCATGTACCCCTCCATATCTTCACCATCAAAGTTTACCAAAATATCCGCCAACTCCTCACCAAGGCATTGTTCTTCCATATTCATCTCGATTTCGTGTTCTACCTCATTAACAACATCAATGACTGAGATGCTTTCATATTCATGTGGCAACTTCATACTCATGTGGCAACCTCTTCGTCATTAACTCAAAACTTGGTTTCATTTCGTCCCTAATCCATAAGTGCTCTTGCGGTAGCAAGAAATGGTCTCCTCAAGATGATAGGGATTTCTTTGTCAACAACACAGTCAAGAATCACAAAGTCGGCGGGGAGGAGGAACTTTCCCACTTTCACAAGAACATCATCAACAATCCCCACCGGTCTCTTTATTGAACGATCGGCTATTTGCAACCCCATACTTGTAGGCCTCGGCATACCTAATACCGCTTGCTTGTAAATAGCAAGAGGCATTAAATTGATGCTAGCCCCATTATCACAAAGAGATCTTGCAAAATCGTGTACCCCAATAGTGCATGGAATGGTAAAAGCTCTCGAGTCTTCTTTCTTTTGAACGGTGGTTGTTGCAATGATGGAACTAACCCGGTGAGTCACATTCACCACTTCTTTCTTGGTTATTTTCTTCTTGGTGATCAAGTCTTTCAAATACTTAGAAAAACCTGGCATCTCTTGAAATGCTTCCACAAAGGGAATATTCACCGATAATTTCTTGAGTATGTCATAGAAATTCTCGATTTTGCTATCATCAACCTTCCAAGCAAGTCTTTGAGGAAAGGGAGGTGGAGGTCTAGGAATTGGTGCTAGAGTTTTTGGTGTTCTTTCACTTTTTTCCTTAACCTCTTCCTGGTTCACTTCTTGAATTTTTGCCTCTTCTGGGACTTTTTCAGTTTCAACAACAACTGGCACCTCAACTTGTGCCTCAACTTCTTGTTCGGTATCTTACACTTCGACCACTTGTTCATTCTCTCCTTGAAGTATTTTCCCACTCCGAGTTGTGATTGCCATACAATGAGAAGTTGGACTGCCCCTACTACCTTTTGGGTTTGCAATTGTGTCACTTGGGAGTGTGCCCTTTTGCTTCGGATTTTGCTCTCTTGAGAGATCTCTCATTTGCATCTCCAACTTTTGAATAGATGCGGTATGAGAACCGACAAGCTCGGTCATATTCCTCATTGAAGTGTCGGACCTGTCTTGATTTTGCAATACTCGTTCAAGCATGTTTTCCAACTTGGAATCACTTGAAAAACCTTCCTTCCAATGCGGAGAGTTAGAATATTGCCCCTTCGGTGGAACATAGCAGTTTGAACACCAATTTGAAATGTTTTTGTTGTTGTTACTCCAATTCCCTTGATTTGAACTACCTTGGTCATTTCGCCACTGTTGGTTTCCTTGCCCTTGTGGGTTAGGCCTCCATTGGTTTTGTTGTACTGAACCTTGGTATTGTTGCCTTTGATAACCTCCTTGAGAGTTGTTGACATAATTTGCTTCTCGTAATCCTCATTTGATGTGGGTTGAACATCTTCCACCACATTCACCTTTTTTGTTTGGCTTTCAGTGAACATCTTTGTCAACACATTGACTTTGGTGGCAAGCCCGGCAATTACTTGATCTCTTTCTTGGTTCTCCTTAATATTGTTGGTCAAGGAAGGAGTACCATATGCAATTCCACCCATGGTGTCCTCTGAGTGCCAAGCTTGGTTGTGTTTTGCCATTTTGTTGAGGATTTGTGTGATCCTCGCAAATATTTTATCCATAAAAGATCCATCAATTGCATTTTTGGCTATAGATTGATTCATAGGATCCAAGCCCATGTAAAATTTCTATAACAATATAGATTGCGAAAAACCATGATTCGGCGAGCTCACCAAATTCACATGCCTCATGTAGATGTTTTCCCGGTAATTGCTTGAAAAAGAAAATTTTATCCCGTAGCTCAGACTTCTTGCTTTGCGGGAACCATTTTGCTAGGAAAGCTAGGACGAGTTTAGGCCAAGAATGAATGGAATTTGGTGGTAGCTTTTGGATCCATTTCCTTTCCTCTCCAGCCACTGAGTACTTGAACACCGTCAATCTTAGGGCATCATCTGAGACGTTGTTCTGCTTGTGCATCGCAAACACACCCAAGAAGTTTCTGAGATGCTGTGTCGGATCATCATCGGTGGAATTTCTGAAAAACCCCTCTGCTTTGAGCATTAGGATTGAACCGTGTTCCACCTTGAATGTGGCAGCATCAACTCTTGGAGGTAAAATAGCATTTGATCCTCAATGTACTCATCTATGTCCGCAAATGGATTCACTTCTTCGTCATACTCGGCCGTGTTTTCCTATCAACACCAAGCAAAGTGTGATGGAATAGAAGAAAAGATAAAGTAAAGCACACACTAATCAGTAATTTCAAAACCATATTCCCCGGCAACGGCACCAAAATTTGATACACTCAAATTACACTCTAAATAAATAGTGTAAGGCAGTCGGTGTCAAATATAATAACCCAACAAGATTGGGGTCGAATCCTACAGGGAATAGGTGTGAAAAGGTTACTTGAGTAGTGTGAAACTTGACTTAAGTCGTAGTTCTACTCCTTTAGCTTAACAATAGAATGATATAATACTGATTTAACAAGATAACTATTTTGTTGTGAGAATGTGATTAATTTGATGAAGGAAACCAAGGTTGTATCTCCATCAATGAAATGTAATGCTATCGGTGTTAATATGATATATTTCTAATGGAAGGTCCTTTGATATGCAAATGGTTTCTGAATGACTACCCAATATTTTTCAATGGTTGGGGTAGTATTTTCTCTTTATGATTTTCCCTAATATAAAAGAGTTGCAATCAAGAACAACCAATTTATGCCAAGTAGAACCCACTTATTCCTAAGCGATACTATTAAACAAGGTTTAAAGTCTTGAGTTCTTGATATTCACTTCTACCAAACCCTAACCCACTTTTTCAAGTAAAGAAGGAGTAAAATGGAGTAAGTTAATGTTTGCAACCACCAACAATAAATAAAGCACAAGAAATGAATATATATATATATATATATATATATATATATATTCAATGTTAAACACCTATTAATATTACACCCATTTAGGATCCACAACCTTAGTATTTAAAACTAGCTACTCATACTAGAATACAAAAACAAAGCAATAAATAGTCATAAAGCTTACAAAAGTGCAAGATTGTCTCTTCACAAGCTTCCAAATTAATGGTGTATTCAATGCCTTCAGTGTAGTCACTTTTTCAGACCTAATGCCCCCACAAAAACCCTAGTAAATCTATTTATAGTGGACTTAAAGTCGGGGTCAAGATTGGACAAAAATGCCCCTGCAGAGCTCTTATGCGACCGCATAATGGTCGCAGACCATGTATGCGGTCCTCATAGTTGACAATTGCATCGCAAAACTTCAGATCCTCAAGCCCAGATTCCACAGCATTTCCATTTTGCGGTCCGCATGTCAGTTATGCGACCGCATTTTCCATCGCATAAATGCTAAGCAGATTCTTCACTTTCAGTTATGCGGTTCGCAGAAGTGTTATGCGACCGCACAATGGATCGCACAATCTTCTCTTGAGTTGGTCAAAACAGTTGCTTCAGTTTGTGGTGATTATGCGGTCCGCATGGTACTTCTGCGGTCACATGCTTGCAGCATTCCTACTCTTTTGTGGCTTTTTGACTTCTTTTCCATGTGTTTGAGTCTTCAAGTCTTATGCACTACAAAACACCAAAACTTTATAAGATTTAACTACAAATGCATTGAAAGATGAATAAAGTCTATGTAATTGGTATCGAAAGTGCTGAAATTCTACGGCACATCAATGATCACCCCAATTACCTTTAAAATCGATAACACATGCCCTCAACATATCCTCAAGAGTCTAAATGGTGCACTCTTCCTGGCCATCTGTCTGAGGATGAAAAGCTGTGCTGAGGTTACCCTTGTGCCCAATCCTTTATGAAAGGATTTCCAAAAGTTCGATGTGAACTGAGCACAACGATCTGAGATGATGGACAAATGAGTCCCATGCAATCGGACAATTTCCTGGATATATAACTTGGCATAATGTCACACCCCAAAACCGAGGGGCGCGACCGGCGCTCTACCGGGTAGCCCCAGTCAAGCGAACCTGGGTGCCTTTCCTACCCGACGTGTTACCCCGTGATTTCAATACCCATTATTCAAGTGAAATATCCGTTTACAATTAAACACATTCTTCAAAAATATACATAACATACATGCTTACTTATGTGGTCTACAAGTTATACTGCCCAAACACAAAATACATAAGTACATACCCCACATTTCCTGTCTACGGAGCCTCTAGGGATACAAAAGAGTTTTACAATACTTGCCGGTAACAAGGCTCCGGCTATACCTTACACAAATACCAAAATAAAATCTGGGAAGAAAAGCGGCATGAGCCACGCAGGGCCCCGAGAGGAAAGGGGCTCACCAATACAGCTGACGGAAAGATGGAGGAGGTACTACTGTCGGTGGACTGGAGTGCCTGATATAGAACCACCTACAATCATAACAAGAATGTAGCGCCCCCGGCAAAAGGGACATCAGTACATTTGAATTGTACTGGTATGTAAGAACAAACTTTACCCCAAGTAAAATCAATCAATACACAGACAACAAACAGTAATAGAATCAACAATCAAATGCACATGAAACGAACAACCAAAGCCAACAAGTTTCACAATCTCTCCTTTTTCCCTTTCAACGTCATTTCATACTCAAGAGTTTCATACATTTTCATTTCAATAGTGAATATGATCACTTTTCCACCCTTATTACCTCGGCCACCCTTATCACCACAACCCACACCATATAACTTCGTGTTGCGGCGCGCAAACCGATCCCACCGGACATTCACATTTAACACAACAACAATAGTTCACAATTCATTCACATAGCTTCAGGCCATCCTGAATGTCATTTCACAGCAACAATAACAATTTAAGTCACAACGATAATTGCCCACGACAAGCCACACATGATGTTACCACAGTTGTTTCAATTGCATCAATCACGACTTCTTTCCATCATTTATTTCATAGCCCTTGCCATATAAACACATTCACACACACACTTGGTTTGTTGCCATTTATTCACACCGTCATATCCGAACGTTAACCAACAATGTTCAAGGCAATTTAGTCACAAGAATTCGTGAAATAGGCCATCTTGCCCTAACACCCGTGAAGCAAACAAAATTCACAAATAGTCCACATAAGAAACGCATACCAATTACTCGTACACCAAACAGGGTGACTTTACAAAGGTTAAAGTTAGCCATACATACCTCAATTTCACCCCTTAATGATACTACAATGATCCAATACACTTAGGCAACTTCAATCTACAATGCAACATTCAATGGGGCCAATATTAGTAACAAATTCCATAACTTATGCCATTTAGGCATATTATCAAACACCTTGTAGGTATAAATCTTTTCATCTCATAACCATAGTATTAGTTCATCCATTTATCACCATTAACTAACAATTTATTCCACCATCATTCCTAACCAATTTATAACTTCCAACAACATATGTATGATCACCCATTCATACCCAACCAACAATTTATATCAAATAATCACCCTTTCAATCTCTACAATAATTATGTATTTATATTGGGAACTTATGGCTTCCCATCACTACACCAAGAGTTCCAACACTTAACTCATACTCATATTCCCATAATATATCCATATATGTAAGTCTAAGGGTAAAAGATTACCTCTTGTAGGCCAAATCTTGAAAGACAACTTTTGGGATGTTCTTGAGATTTTGAAGAAATCCTATGAAATCCAATCAAAACCCTGTTTTAACTGGTGATTGAGAGGTGAAATCACCATGAAAACACACTTAAAAACTCACCTTAGGTGTGTGATTGGATACCTTGGTCGGATTGGGGATGGAGAGGATGCTCTAGGCTTGAGAAGTGACTTAAATCCTCTCATTTCCCGTCCTTAGGTGTATTTAGAGGTCTGCTACTAGCGCGCCCGCGCTAAGGAGGCAGAATACTTCCCAATATGCGCGGCCGCGCTAAGGCCGCCCTTCGACACCTGCCCAGTAAAATGGTCGTAACTTTCTGTATACACCTCCAAATGACAAACGGTTTGGTGCGTTGGAAACTAGA